CACAGACAAATATTCTGAGAAGGTATTCTTCCTTCGATTCAGGAGAAAGTTATTAATTCGCAGAGGATAAATAGGTTGTAATGACACAGAGGATAGTAGTAAAATATTTATCGAAGAGAGTAGAGGATAGATACAATGTACGGTGCAGTCTTTGGACATTAAACATTGCAATTAAGATTGATTCTTAGACAAAGAAATTTAGCTTATTAGTCCATAGAAAAAAAGGAAAGGATGTGAACTTAGATAAAGATAACAATGAAAAACACATGAGACAATGAATTTGAGGAATGTAAGATTGGTTAAATGATTCATAACATTGTTACAATTTGTATGATTGATTAGTACATTGGTTTATTTAATCAATTCATTTCATTTGGAGCTTTGCGACATTCAAAATTCGCGACAACATTTGTCTTCTATTGTTATCATCCTGCAGTAAAGTGAGCAATTCGTTTTTTTTTTTTCTCCCTCCCTGAAATAGATTAATAAATTTATGCGGATTAATTAATAAGTTATTTTTTATCACTTTAAGCATATGTCTTTTTTTTTTTTATGAAACATTTTATCCATCACAAATATAACTCTAATTTTTCATATTTCAAAAGTTGAAAATGTTAATGGAATTCCAAATAAAAAATTTGTTTTAAAATATGTTTCATATTTGATCACAGATATAGAAAGATGTAAGTTAATTTATTATATCTGTACTTAAACCATTATATGTTAACATACAGTAATCAGATTACATTTTTAGGAACTATCAATCTGAGATATAATCCCTATGAAATGTATACCTAAAACAGAGCATTAAAAATTAATTCAAAAATAAACTCTTTAATATGACTGATATTTTCAATTGAAATAAATTTTATGAATATGTTCAAAAGTTTAATAAATGTAAATTTATATGGGGAATTACAATTGAATGATGATAATGATAGTGTTAATATTTAATTTCCAATTAATATATGATCTTATTTTATTAAAATGATCGTTCCTAAATTTGTAAAAATTAAAATTACATTATTAGCCAACTTGAAATCTTTTCGTCAATATAATAGAAATAAAAATAAATTATGTTATTAATTAATTGGCATATGTCAATTCTAACTGTTAATTAGTGTTAAAATGGTTAAGTTTTATCGTTCACATGGATGAATTCTTTCACATCTTTTGATATCTAAATCATTAAAATTTAACAATTTCAAAATTTTGAACTCTAAAATGTTTGTCAACACAATGTCACATGTTTTGCACAATGTCTCATGTTTCATGCATGCATTCCAGATTTTAGTTGTTCTTTTTGCAAACAAATTTTCATCCAAAAAATTTATTCCAATGACATTTGTATGAAATACATATGATGACAAATATTAATGCAATTAATTTACCATGCAAACAAAAAATTTCATTAAAATATTAAAAATTTTAATTAAGAGTTAAAACGTGTTTGTAATTTTAACATTTCTACTAAAAAGTTTAAAGTTTTAATTTTAATTAAAGTCTTTAATATAATGAAGCAGTAGAGGCTTTAATTATGGTTGAAACATGTTTGTAATCCATTTCGACATTTCCGCATTTTCGCAATTCGCGCAAATGCAACACCATTCATTTTCAAAATTCCATTCTCATTTTTCCATCATTTTATTAAAAAAAAAAAAAAAATTTCGTAAATTTTTTATTCAATCATAAACTATTAGAATTTGCAGTGCAAAGTTTTTTTTTTTTTACAATTTTTCGTAAAAAAATTTCCTTCCATTTTTCGATATCCATTTATTTCATGCAAATCAGACATGCAGTGATTAAATTAAATTACCATAAATGGATGGAATTTTAGAAGTTAAAAAGTATTTTTCAAATTTCATATCAATTAAATTAATCGTTTTTTTTTTTGAAACTCGCAATCATTTTCTTTTTTTTCTTTTAATTTCCTTATTGCATGTATAATTTTGATAGCTTCTGCTATTTGCATATAAAATATTACACTATTCTGCCGGTGGTTCTTTCAAAAATCACCTTTATGCTAAACATAAACATACAGTATTAAAGTTTTGTATTTTAATTTTTAACTTTAATTTCAAATTTATTGATCATTGACCTGCAAAAAAATGCATTCATTTAATGGATTAAAGACTAGATTTTCTGAAAAAAAATTTTTTTTCCTTTTTATAAAAATGCTAATTATTTCCAATTACCAATCATAATATTTCATTTCATAAATTTGAACAAAAAAAAAAAAAAAAAACAAGTATTCTTTTTTTTATGATAAGGATGAATTTAGTTATTTTGATTTTACTACTGATTTCGCTTATCAGTGATAAAATGCAATTGCTTAATAGCATTCATTTTTTTTTTTTGCATAATATATCGGACTTTTTTCAAAGAGTTGAAAAATAGAACAATTGTAATTTCCGGATGGAATTTCTTTTAAAAACAAACGATTTTAATAAATAATTTAAATAATTCGTTGAAATAATTTGAAGGAGAATTATTGAATTATTTAAAAAAATAATTAAATGAATTACTGTAATGTAATGTTAAAATACATTAATAGTGAAATGTATGCTCGCAGCAAATGTAACATTGAAATTCGTTTCCTTATTAATTTTTTTGAAGCAAATAAAAATTGTTAAAACATTCTTGATTAGCTGTAAAGGAATAATTAAGGAAATAATTAAATGAAATAATTAAAAAAATAATTCTTGACGAAGTATACATGATACAGTATCATTTGATGTTAAACAAATCATACGATCGAATGTAAGCAATTGCGTTAATGTAGACGTTATTTATCACGTATCCGTGTCACATGTATCAAAAATATTTCAAACTATCATTTATTTCAAATTATTTTTATAATAATTTAATGCGACATCTACGACATATTAATTAACCCATTCATTAATGATCTTTTATATACATACCTATAACAAGAACAGTATGGATTAAATGATCAGATCGATGAGAAATGTATGATCAAATTTATTATTATTTTGCAAAATTAGACTAACTGATCGTTCGAAAGATTGACTTTGCCGATTTCAAAAAAAGAGCAAAGTGTCGATAGTTCAAAGGTCAAGAAATGAATAACACAAATAATTGGAGAGTAAGACTGAAATGATTAATTTCAGCCTACATTAAGTTTTCCTTAATGACAAATTCACTCATTTAATTATTATCTCATTTAGTGGAAATTCCTTTCAAATAATAAAAATTGCATAAAAATGCTAATAAAAAGATTAGAAATTTATCCAAAAGAGCAAAAATGTTAACATTTCGAGTGAAATATTATTTATCAAATTATCATTTCAGTTATCACTGCTAAGATTTTTTTTTTAATTTTATTATTTTTTTTTTTTTAGAAAGGAATGTTTAACGGATGAACAGAAAGAAAAAAAAGTTGAGATTCTATCGATTAAAGCAAAAACTGAAATCAAAGAAATTTAAATCAAAAGTAACAGATAATTTTATAAACTTTTGATAATGTTTAGTTATGATAAGATGATAAGATGATAATCGTTGAATATGAATCCAACAACAACGTGTACCTAAACTACATATTGAAATGAGTCATTTGCTGATATCGAAGATTTACCTTATATTATCAGATAATTTGCAATATATTCATGTTAATCATTAAAATTTTTTAAAGTGATAAACTAAAATCTTATCAGTAATGGTAAAAAAACAAAAATTTTCCACTTACAAAAATAAATTTGTTCAATTTGTTGGCCAAAAGAAAAAAGAATGCAATGGCCAGGAAGACATAATGCATAATGTTAACTGAAATTGTTTCACAAATTATCATGCAAAAAATTTATTAATTATTTTAACAATTAAACAAAGTAAATGAATTAATTAATTTCTCTTAAGCTTAAGTCTTGGAATATTCCAGCAAACTTTCTTCTTATCATAATTTATATGAACTAAAAATGTAATCATATGAAGCGTTATGTTAGCATTTCTCATTAATTGTTTAATTTTTCCATTCTTAATTAATTATTATTGCTAATAAAATATTACCGATTACGAAGCATACAAATAATGTGGGTTTATTCAATATGATTAAAAAAAAATCATATTTTTTTTAAAAAGTTCGAAAAATTTTTAATAAAAGATGAGTTTTTAAGTGAACAAAAATATTTTAATAAATATGTTTTAAAAAAGAAAAATATTTTTGTAAATGCATTGATAAGATTAAGAACAAATTAAAATATAAAAATGAACGAAAGTAAACAAAATTATGCAAAAAAAGCGCATTTTTTGATAAGATATAGAAGCTTGATAAGATGATAAGACGCCTACATTTGGTTGATAAGATGAATTATTTGATAAACTATTTGATAAGATGTTTATAAGAGTGATAACTGACAGCAGGCTGTATTAAAGTTTCTAATTTTCTGATATCATTAATTAGATTAATTTGAAATCGTTGCATTTTTATTTTCAATCGATATCTTATCTGAAAATATTCAGTATTTTGTTTTGTATTATAA